TACACTAAATGCATTTAGTTTAAATAACAAATCTCATAATTTATTAATTTATAATTTTTTATATTTATCTTATGTTGTGTAATATTTAAAACATAACATGTAGATAATGTGTTTGATAAAATTACAATGAGAAGACGTTATATTGTGGTTATGTACTTATTTTAACTTGAAGTTTTTTTTATAATATAATATTAATAATATTATTGGGACTTAGGTGTATGGATTTATTAATTATAAGTTATAATTTCATTAGTGAAATTGTAAGAATAAATAAAAAATAATATATTTATTATAATTTCTAGGCCCCGCCTAGGCGCCGCCTAGGCCCCGACTAGGCGCTCTAGGCGCTAGGCGCTGGTCGGGCGCCTAGCGACTTCTAGAACACTGCGGCCAACGCATACTTAGTCTCTAATATCAAAGACAAAAAAGAGAATATCAAGTTTAAGGTTTCGGTCCAAAACTTGAGAGACTAAACAAATCTGATAACGAAGTTCGAACCAAAATATAAACCTCCAAGAAGCCTTTGGCACATAGAGAGAACGGTTGTCGTCGTCTCATTAGGACCGCTAGAAACCACAGTCACCCGGCTAAACGAGTTCTCTACTTTGCATTGAAGGCCACCACTATCAGAGGCAGAGCCACATGTAATTATACCCGGGCTTCAACCTGGGTGGCGTCTACAAATTCTAGTTAGTTAGGGGCGATTGGATATAGTTTGTACAGTACAAAAATTAACAAAAACTCAAATTTAACTCAACTATAACTCAACCCTACTATCTCTAATATTATCAATATAATTATATAATATCAACCAATCATTCTTACACATCACATCAACTTTAATTCACTATTCATCCACTCACATAATTTTAACTAAACATCATTTTCTCCTACTTTTACACCAAATCAACTTTAATTATTCTATTTTAAACATCATTTTAATATATACACTAGCAACTAACAATACCACTTTTTTTTTAAAAAAAAAATTAACTATAGTAAAAAAACAAATCAAATAAAACTAGTTGAATCCATAAACAATCACCCCCTTAATGCCCTGGTGGCTTCTACATGTTCTAAGGTTCTACAGGTTTAGCCCAAGAATGTTTTGAATCTTAGCTCCGCCCTTAACCACATAGTAGTAAAATAAAATAGTAATGCAAGTTTTAAGAATATTTAAAAATTTTAAAATAAAAAATTTATTTCATATTTTATTTTTTAGTTATAAAATTTTTAATTAGCACCTATGTACACATTATTGTAGCATATATGTTTCCAATAAAAGGAACTACAACATGGCACAATCTCACCATTCCCACCAATGCACCAATTTCGTATTCCTGCCCCTTCCCACCTTTTGAGTGACATTTTTAAATTTTTTGAAATTTAAAATTTATGAAGATTTTCTATTTTATGAAAAATCTATAGATCTTAAGTTTGGAGGGAATGTCTATAAAATCTTAACAGTTTGGAAGAGAGATTAAGAGAGATATTTTGTATATAATTTTTCTTCTGAAATCTCATAAATTTTAAAAAATCAAGATTTCGTTTCACATTTTAAAATCTTAAATAAATACGACTCTTAAAAAAACAAACTAAATACACAAAAAATTTTAAATTTTAAAAGGTATTTAGAAATCTCAATCGAATACACGCTTATATATATATATATATATCACAATGTAATAACATATTTTAAAAAATAAAATACATTTATTCAATTATTTTTCAAAATTACAATTATAAAATTATAGATTTTAATAATGAAAGGCATTGGGGAAAAAACGGGTGCGGTCCAACTAACATGAAACACATCATAAGCGGGGAAAGCCCATATGAAGCCCAAGTGGAGTTCCATACCAAACATAATTGGTGGAAGGAGGAATAACCTATTAGACTTATAAGATGAGTCTATCTTCCATGTATGAACTAGGGGAAAAACGGGTGCGGTCCCACTAACATGAAGCACACCATAAGCGGGAAAAACCCATATGAAGCTCAAGTAATGTTCCATCCCAAAACCAATTGGTATAAAAAGAAGTAGTTCATTAAACTTATAAAGTGAGTCTATTTTTCATGTATGAACGATGTGAGATAACTCAGAAGTAATATTCTAATAAATAATAAAAAAATAAGGTTGGTAAAAAAAGATGGATAGTAGTAATATATAAAAAGCATAAGCTTACAAAATAAGACTAATAAAATTTTTTGACATAATCTTAAAAAGAGAAAAAAAGTAAAAAGCATAGCATTCTCGTAAAAAGTAACCTATTGATTCATCATCATAAAACATTAATCTAATATAAATATATCACAAATTCTTGAGTAATCCGACATGATTGTTAGCATGGTCAACTCATTCTAATTTTCTTTGCATACCAATGTAATGAAATGTCATATCTTACAATGAATGTCATATGTTTGTTTATGGTGTTTTCTAAAATACAATATTCTATTTTATTACATACTCCCTCTATTTTATTACATTCTAGTTTATGGAGTATTTGTAAAAAAAAAAATATGACAAGTTTTGAACGAGTCGTACCAAGCTCGATTTCCCTCTAACAAGTCCAAATGGACTTGTTAACCAAATGAGTCAGTAATCAAGCTTGTATTTAATTTATCAATATTAACGAGTCAAATTCGAATTTTAACCAGTCAAATTAAAAATGAAAAATTCTTGAGCTTTAGTAGGACAAGTTGAGCCTCAACTATTTAACTAAACGAGCTTTCCAAGATCAAACTCAAACGAGCTTTCCAAGATCTAATGAAAAAATGACTAATTTCGTTTCACAACTTTGATGGTCTAATAAATAAATTAAAAATAAAGCATAAAAGAAAGGATAAGAAAATCTCATTTTCCGAGATCTACCAACCCCCAACCTCAAGTACCATTTCAATTGCAAATAATTAGGTGTGTCAAGACATACGGTAGTAGCACCCATTTCAATCCTGTATAAATAGCAACTTCATTACGATCCTAAACTCGCATCTCTGATCTCTCTCTCTCCCTCTCTCTCTCTACCAGAAACCCGCGCTCCGCGTAGAGCCTCACATCTCCTCAAGGTACGCTTGCCCTCTCAATCGCAATCGCAGTCTATTTATGTTCATAGCCTCTTGTTAATCACACTTTCTTGCCTATACATTTCAATCGTACTCGGTCTTTCATAGTAGTTTTTGAACTGTAAATGTAGAGTTTCTGCGCATTGATTTACTTTGGAATTTGGATCTATTGGTAGTTGTCCGAGTCCAACTGATCCGGTGATGTAAGAATGGCTTCTGTTTTCCTCTTGTTTAATTGTCCCTGTTTTTGTGTTGGATCAGCTCACTAGGCCTGTGTAATTCATGCTGTTCATGTACGCCGTGAATGTGCTGAATTGGATTGTGTGGATAAGCTTAAAAAATGGCATGTGTTGGTTCGTTGAACTATTCCAGATCTGGGTTTAGGATATTTGTTCCGACTAGATCTGAGATCAAGAGGCTGTTCAGTGTGTTTAATTCAGTGAAGTCAGTTTGCATTGCGTCGCATATTCGTGTAACGAGCATGTACTATATTTCTAAGCTTCGGATCTTGATTTGTTTTGTTTTTATTGAGATGATGATTGTTCATTTGTTTGTTTGTTTGTGCATCTCAATGCTTAGCTAGTGTAGCTCAGCCATGCACGTTATTTTTTTTTTTTAATCCACGATTGCATATGATTTATTGGATCCCTTTACGGCTTTACTCCTTAGTGAATGAGCATGTCAATGAAGCTTTATCCTCAACTGATGTTCTTATACAAGCATATGATGGAAAACCAAATAGCAAGTGAACAGAAGTTAGGATATTTGTGTTGTTTACTAGGATGCCAATTACTTTATCCAATCAGTTATGTATGGAGACAGCTAACTCAAACTGAATACGTAATCTAATTTCTTAGTGGTCCTTGTCATTTTCTTGACAGTTGGCATGTTATTTTCTTTTTCTTTTTCTTTTTTTTTTTTGTTACTAACTGAGATATGCCGATTCGCCTTTGTTTTGCTAGTAAAATGGCATCCCATATTGTTGGATACCCACGTATGGGCCCAAAGAGAGAGCTGAAGTTCGCTCTGGAATCCTTTTGGGATGGAAAGAGCAGCGCCAGTGACTTGGAAAAGGTGGCGGCTGACCTTAGGGCATCCATCTGGAAGCAGATGTCTGAAGCTGGGATCAAGTACATCCCGAGCAACACATTCTCGTACTATGATCAGGTGCTTGACACAACCGCGATGCTTGGTGCAGTCCCGCCAAGATACAACTGGAATGGTGGTGAGATTGGCTTCTCCACTTACTTCTCCATGGCCAGAGGAAATGCCTCTGTTCCTGCTATGGAGATGACCAAGTGGTTCGACACCAACTAGTAAGTGACGACTCGTGTTTTAAAGAAGTTTGGTTGCCCTACAATTGTGACGTTTATTCAATTGTTTATTAATGCAGCCACTTCATTGTCCCTGAATTGGGTCCTGATGTAAAGTTCTCTTATGCTTCACATAAGGCAGTTAATGAATACAATGAAGCTAAAGCGGTATGTTCCCTGTAACTTTCTTTTTCTGTTTTGGATCTAAACAGTATGTTTTATAAATTGATTCCCAGTTTTGTTATATTAAGGAATTCGGTTAATAAGATTCTTGATTTCTTTTAATTTAACAGTAAATATTTTTCAGTTTGGGCAATTCTTGAGTACTATAGGCTCTGAAAATTTTCTATTTTTTTTCCTCATGCAGCTTGGTGTTGACACAGTTCCAGTACTTATCGGCCCTGTTACATACTTGTTGCTTTCCAAACCTGCCAAGGGTGTTGAGAAAACTTTCCCTCTTCTTTCACTTCTTGACAAAATTCTCCCAATTTACAAGTGAGAAAATGCTTCCAATTACGTGATGTTTTCACCATTTACATAATGATTGCACTTGGTACTTAAATATACTTGACATCCTGACAGGGAAGTTATTACTGAGCTGAAGGCAGCAGGTGCTTCATGGATCCAGCTTGATGAGCCCACCCTTGTTTTGGACCTTGAATCTCACCAGTTGGAAGCATTCACCAAGGCTTATGCTGACCTCGAACCATCATTGTCTGGCCTTAATGTTCTGATCGAGACCTACTTTGCTGATGTGCCAGCAGCTGCATACAAAATTCTTACCTCACTGAGTGTTGTTTCTGGTTTTGGTTTTGATTTGGTTCGTGGCACCAAGACCGTTGATCTGATCAAGGGTGGATTCCCTTCCGGGAAGTACCTCTTTGCTGGAGTTGTTGATGGAAGGAACATCTGGGCTAATGATCTGGCTGCTTCTCTTGCTACTCTACAGTCTCTTGAAGGCATAGTTGGAAAGGGTATATTGGCTAGAACCTATTTACTGGATCCTAGATTAATTTAAATTTGGGATATCTGCAAGAGGCATCGTTTGGATACAAATTTTTCTAAAAAAATTCCAATCATTTTTAACTTAAATCTAACTCAACTTTTTAACTCAACCCCATTATCCTCAATATTATCAATATAATTAAATAATACCACTCAGTCGTTCTTACACATTACATCAATTTTAATTCACTATTCATCCACTAACATAATTTTAACTAATCATCATTTCACATTATCTCTCTATACATCAAATCAATTTTAATTATTTTATTTTAAATATTATTTTAATATAAACTTAAAATTCCACTAACAATTAATATTTTATGTCCAAGCATCTCGCCCAGAGACTTTTCAACAATTACAAAAGGTCTTCAATTGTTATATTTGATTATGACCTGTATACATGCATGGCGGGTTAAATATTGCAGTTGACATGTACGATGAGGGTTCTTTTTTTCTTTTTTCTTATGGAAGGAGCAAAATACAAAATAAAATAAAATCGCAAGGGTTTTATTTGTTATTCTTACAATATGCTGCTTTCTTAGTTACTGAACTTAAAAACTCAGTTTGTTTTATAATCACCCCTTAATTTAATGAGTGGCTCATTTTTATTCAATTCCTTTGTGCAGATAAGCTTGTTGTCTCTACATCCTGCTCACTTCTCCACACGGCCGTCGATCTCGTGAATGAGCCGAAGCTTGACCAGGAGATCAAGTCGTGGCTTGCATTTGCTGCACAGAAGGTTGTTGAAGTGAATGCTTTGGCTAAAGCATTATCTGGTGCAAAGGACGAGGTAGAGTTCACGACTAACGCCAAGCGAATTGAGTCCATAACATTTTAGAATCGTAAATAATCACTTAGGGTCATTTTGATTTTGCCTACATTATTACTAACATATACATTTTGCTGCGGTGCTTGAATTTTTAGGCATTCTTCTCTGCCAATGCTTCGGCTCAGGCTTCGAGGAAATCCTCTCCCAGGGTGACTAATGAAGCTGTCCAAAAGGCTGTAAGTGATATTATCTGCATTTTCAGGGTTTTTGGAAAATCAATGTAGAAGTAATGTACTTAACCAGCTATTGCTTTTGTCCGGCCAGGCTGCAGCCTTGCAAGGTTCTGATCATCGTCGTGCTACAAATGTTAGCGCGAGACTTGATGCTCAACAGAAAAAGCTTAACCTTCCAATCCTTCCCGCCACCACAATTGGTTCTTTCCCTCAGACTGTTGAACTCAGGAGGGTCCGCCGTGAGTACAAGGCCAAGAAGTGAGTGTATTATTTTTGCTTGTTGTAACCTTTATTCAATCACAAAGATGTAGATTTTAAAGATATATATGTATATGTATTGTAGGATCTCGGAAGAAGAATACATCAATTCTATCAAGGAGGAGATCAACAAGGTTGTCAAGCTACAAGAACAACTTGATATTGATGTTCTTGTTCATGGGGAGCCAGAGGTAAGCAATTGTGTTCTTAATTTGGGATAGAAATAATAAAACGAAGGTTATGTTTGGTAAACCTAAGTTAGCTTGCAACTTTTAAGTGAATTTCGAGCTTATAGATGATATTTTATGACTTATAGCTGAAAAACTAGCTTATATGATAAAAGTGTTTGGTGATATTAGTTGATAAGCTAGCTGAAATAAAAATTTCAATGGGCTTATTTGAAAAGATACTGAATGAAACTTATGAAATAAGCTCGAGTTTTAAAAAAGTTCGTCCTACCATACTAGCTTATTTGAATACAGGAAACTTATAAGGTAATGAAATAAGCTATAAGCTAGCTTATATGCTTTACCAAACACAACCTTAATAGTTTACTTATTATTGGCAATGATGAATTTAAGCCGACTTGCATTCTGGTTTTTGGAGTGTATCTGTTGGGCCAATATATTTGAATGTACGAATTTTCAGAGAAATGACATGGTTGAATACTTTGGTGAGCAACTCTCCGGTTTTGCCTTCACCGCCAACGGATGGGTGCAATCCTACGGTTCTCGCTGTGTGAAACCACCGATCATCTATGGTGACGTGAGCCGGCCCAAGCCGATGACCGTCTTCTGGTCCACTACTGCCCAAAGCATGACCAAGCGCCCGATGAAAGGAATGCTTACGGGTCCTGTCACCATTCTCAACTGGTCTTTTGTTAGAAATGACCAACCCAGGTACATTTATAAGCCTTTCTCTGTAATTTCCCTATTTATTGGAATTTTGTTTCTTCTAATAATGTAATGATAACGATGTGTTTGTTTCATTGTTCACAGATTTGAGACCTGTTACCAGATTGCTTTGGCTATTAAGGATGAAGTGGAGGATCTTGAGAAGGCTGGAATCACAGTTATCCAAATTGATGAGGCTGCATTGAGAGAAGGGTTGCCGCTTAGGAAGGATGAACACGCGTTTTACTTGGATTGGGCCGTGCACTCGTTCAGAATCACCAATGTTGGTGTCGAGGACACTACCCAGGTGCCTTTTTATCTCTACTCAAAACGTTGAATCGTTTTTTACTTGATATCAAAGTTGAATTACATGTGTGTTTGTTTATAAATAAACTCAATCTGTACTCAAAATTTAGTTCAATTTTAAATCAATTCCACTCCACTATCAGTATAATAATTAAGTAATACAAATCAATCATTCTTACACATTACATCAACTTTTATTTACTATTAATCTAATTAAACTTTTATTTACTATTCATCTACTTGCATAATTTTAACTAACCATTACTTCACCTAATATCTCACCTGCTTTACATCAAATCAACTTTAGCTATTTAATTTTAAATATTATTTTAATATAAACTCAAAATTCCACTATCAACTAATCATATCATTTTTTTTTTCAAAATTAACCTAAAAAAAAAAAAAAAAAAAAAAAAAAAAAAAACCGTTTTGAGTGGATATTTGTATCCAAGCACGCCCATGTTCTTCTTTTCAGGTTTAGTCAATGTAACAAAGATTTCTGGTCATCCCTGAAAATTACAAATTCTCTCATTATTATTATGATAAACATAGCAGATAAAGAAAGTACATTGGGTTATGGGAAATAAACATGTAAATGGTATGTAGAGGGCAAGCTTTTAATTAAATCTAATGCTTCTGCACAAATAGACAATTTTCACCTTTTCTTTTGCTAAATATTTTTTTGTTGGGTCGGCAACCGACAGATCCACACCCACATGTGTTACTCGAACTTCAACGACATCATCCAATCCATCATCAACATGGATGCTGACGTCATCACCATCGAGAACTCTCGTTCGGACGAGAAGCTGCTCTCGGTTTTCCGTGAGGGAGTCAAGTACGGTGCTGGAATCGGGCCTGGTGTTTACGACATTCACTCCCCAAGAATCCCGTCAACTGAAGAAATTGCGGACAGGATAAACAAGATGCTTGCTGTTCTGGAGACCAACATCTTGTGGGTGAACCCTGACTGTGGCCTCAAGACCCGTAAGTACGCTGAGGTTAAGCCTGCTCTTGAAAACATGGTCTCGGCTGCTAAGCTCCTCAGGACCCAGCTTGCCAGCGCTAAATGAACTGCTTTTTAACTTGAATCTACAGTTTTTTGGTTTCAAAATATGATGAATGTTTTTTTTTTAATTATTATAATTATTATCAATGGAATGAATAATTGTGCTGAAATATTATTATCATTCAGTTTTTGCCGTAGGGTCTTCCATTTTCTTTTCTTTTTGGGCTTTTCTTGTTCTTTTTCCTTCATGTTTTTTAACTATTATGTGTGATAGCAAGCAGTATTGAAAGGTTTTTACATGTATCCCATATTTGGAAGTGGAAGAAATTTGATACCTTCAGAAGATGTGCATTTTCTTTATCTAATTAATTACATTTCACATTAAAAAAAAAAAAAAAAAAGAAATCCAAATTCACTCATCAAGCTGCTCACCAACCGTACACTTGTACATATACACAACGTAAGCCACCAGCACAGCCAGGGCCGCTGCCGTCGTGGCCAGGCTCACCGCCACCTTCGCTAGCCCCGGCTTTTTCCGTTTCTCGATCTTGAATCCTGCCGGCGGATTCCCTACAACGTCCGTCTTCGGCTCCTTTTCAGATCCGCCGTTGGCATCGTTCGATTTCGGCAGTGGTGGGGCCACCGTGGGATGATTTGTCCCGGAGGTTTCCGGTTTGGGTGTCGGATCGTCTTTGAGCGGGAACTTGGGGCCGTTGGATCCGTGTTTGATTTTTGGCATGGTGATGTAGAGGACGCCGTTGATGAATTTGGCCTGGATCGATTGGGTTTCGTAGGTGTCGGTCGGGACGGGTACTTCTTTGTGGAACCTGGATTTCAACGACGTTCCTGCCGGACCTTCGCCGGAGATTTTGAGGACGCCCAGGCTGCTGATTTGTACTCTGAGCTGCTCCTTTTTGAAACCTTGGAAAAAGAGCAAGAGGGCAGGTAAATGTTTTAGTTGTATTTTTATTTATTTTTTCGTATTCTTGATTTTCAATTTCCATTGCATAGTTTATAGTACGAGTCATAACTAGAAGAACAAGGACAGAGACAAAATCATAAAACGAGAAATTATGGATTTCTCGTTTTATGTAGTGTATAAAGATTATAAAGTGTACAAAGTTTAGCCCCATAAAGCAAGAGTTAAAGCATATATCTGAGGGGGGAAAAGACTTTATAAAATGACCAATTTATAACTGGGTATTGGAGGATGATTGCAAGTGTAATCACCTTGAAGATGGATTTCAAGAATGTCTTTATCTTCATTGCGTTGCCATTGGCATAACGGCTCAAATTCCTCGTATGTAGGCACTTCCTGACGAGCTTTTCCGGCCATAGAATGTTAGTATAACTGTCGTTGAAGGCTTCTTTTATGTGTGTGTGTGTGTGTTATATGTTGCTACTTTTTTGTTGTGGATTACTAATTACTTCTGTTCAGCCCATTTATATGTCTAGAACAATTCTTGTGAAAGTCTTTGGAAACATATATAATACAATGTCCCAACTGATTTTCTTTTGATTTGGACTTCCTCTTAAGGAAGAGAATCAGATTCTTTCTGGTATAATTGGGTTGCTTTTGCTTATGCTTAGAGTGTTTGTGAATGTCATTTTCTAATTGTGTCGGTAAGTTGAGAATATTCTCTCTTAACAACAATGCCTGTTTCAAGTCGAGATTACTTTTGGCCTCTTTGTTTAGGTTTCGAAGGCTGAATCGGTAGCCTATGGTTTTGCAATCAAGCTCACCTTACACAACTGGATAAGAAAGTTAAAGGGGATACAAGAAAGAAAGAAAGAAGAGTAAAATGTCGAAAAATAGCTGTTCGATTACTGCTTGGTGTGCTGCTATATATGGTAAAAAATCTCTGTTTTTCTGCCGATTGATTGGAATGTCGTCGTGCATAATTTCTTTTTGAATAAAGCCAAATATCTGGCAAAATGTGGATCTTTACTATGTATGTGATAACTTGGAGCAGCTTGGCTGATTGGTCATATATTGGCCTCTCGAAAACCCTTGTGTATGCAATCGACTTCACGTGTGTTTTATATTTGATACTTCATACTATCAGTGCCATATCTGTATAATTTGACAGGATAACTTTTCAAAAGAAATATCAGAATTTCAATACATTTTGTAAGAAATTGAATTTTGAAGGTTAAAATGATAAATATGATCAACTTAAACGGCTAGAAATGCAATAATGCATATTAATGCTTGGGGGAAGAGAACTGTATTTCATTATTCTGCTAGTAGTTGCTACAGTACCACAGAATACAATTTATAGAAAAGATGGCCAAATTGAGAGAAAAGTATTCGGGCCAAGAATCATATCCGAGGACTTCTAAAGGTTCTCACATGTCGAGCGAGTAGAATCTGACCTTATCCAGCCAGCTCGACCAAAGAACAAAAGTGTTTGAAATTGGCTCGAATTCCAAATGCTCGAAACTCGCTCGAGTTCGGTTAACACTTCTAGTGAAAGTTATCTTAGTGAAATAAGTGGCTCGTCGAGCACTCGAACTTACAAATTACATGATCCTTTCATCATTGAATAGTTGTCCTTTTGGCTGTAACATAAAAGTTCTATCAACACAACCATAGATTCCTTTTATTTGTCTCCTCATTTTCAGTACACACACTGTTTTCATAATGTTTCTATTCCTTCTTCCTACAGTGATACACGCTTGTCCTGCAGCTTTTCCTTATTTAACGCGCATGATGACCTGTTCTTCATGTGCCTTCAAATTGGCCTCAATTTATCTTATTTTTTTCTTTTTTTCTTTTTTTATATATTTATTTTCCTCATTTACCTCACCCAATATTGCATGTCTCCCATTTTTAAATAATATAAGCGTTATGTTAATATGTTCACCAATTGATATAACAAGAGATTAACATAGTATACGGTAGATATGATGTTAAAAAGGGTAAATTCGCGTCTACAAGCACGTGCGTGTAAATCAGTGGCTAAAACCCATAGGAATCGAACTTGTTAAAAATCACGATACTTAACACGTGACTGGTGGAAAATCACGATATCTTAACACGTGACTGGTGAACGGGAAATAATGTATGTACTATAAGTCTACACGTCATCAAGATTTGTAAAATATATATCTTGCAGCTTTCTCTATTATCCGAGCTAGCGCTATATATATATATCACTTTGATTGCTCAATCATGTAGAGAGAGAGAGAGAGAGAGAATCACTACTTAAGAAGAGAGAGAGGAAGGACGCGTTTGGAATGGAGGCTGTTCCAAGATCCATTTTGCATTTTCCCAATGCAATGTGTTGGGTGGATTTCGGACCAGGCTTCATTTCCCACGCCTCATTTTCTTACTCCCCAAACAAGGCCCAACTCAAGTCTTTTTTTTTTAAAAAAAAAAAAAAATATATTTATTTTTTTTTTAATTTTTTTTTTCAGCAGGTGATAATGGTTATTTCAGTTTGGTAACATAAATTAGAAGATTATCCTTGTTATGCATGTCAAATATGAATGTTTTGTTCTTTTGTTTTTTCTTTCTTCAAGTAATGATTTGTTTTGGGCATAATTTTTCGTTATAGCAAAATGAGTTGTTCGTGAGCTAGACTTGAGCTAGATTCAAGTTCGTCTAACTAACGAGTTGGGCTTGACTTAGCTCGAAAAGAGGATTTATGATGTAATTTCTTATAGTTCAGCTCATTAATATTGATAAACAATAAGTCAAGCTCGAACTCGATGATTGACTCATTAAGGACTCGAACTCTGACTTTTCTTGTTTACATTAGCTTTTGCACATTGATGTATAATATAACTGGCTTTTGACGGCACACATGAGTGTTATATGTTACAAATTTGAGTGCTAAAATACAGGTAAATCCTACAAATTGAAATGTATTAATATTAAGTTTGACTAATTATTAGTTAGCTCTATTTTGTTAACATATTTTTTAGGTGCATCTGTATCATTAATATCTCAGTTGAAAGATTTATATTTCTTGAAATTTTGTTCATTTGTTAAAATACAAAGTTAAAAGATGTACAAGTATGTTGTTAGTGAGATGTTTATGTGATTTTATTGCAATCCATCTCTATTTATTTAATTTATTATTATTTTTATATTTGCATCTATTTGAATGAATGAAGATTCATTTATTGGTCTAATAGCATTTTTGGTTTATCATGACAATTTAAATTTGATATTGTGTTGATTGTTGTCGTTGAAATTCTTAATTATTATTTCTCAAGCATGATTTTGTATTTAATTAAACATTATATTTGAATATATATATATATATAGTAATTTTAACAACAAATTTATATACAAAATTATCATTAAAAAATTTATATACAAAATCATCATTAATTAGTTTAGATAATTTAAAATATTCAAATATCTAAACTAACTCGCCAATTTTCGGCATGTACCTGACTTATTGAAACGATAAACAACTTGTTTTTGGTTGTTTCGCTGATAATCTGTTTATTCCAACGAACCGAACTAGGGTTTTAAAACAATGGTGACACAAATTATTCTATATTATTATTACAATTAATTTATGCAACTATAAATAATTAAATAATTAGTTTTGTAAATACATTTTGTATTTATTTTTAGAAAAAAAAACATCTAAAATCGAGAAAACTTGTATACTAATTTATTCTAAATGATGATACAATTTACAAGTGTGAAATAAAATTGTTCAAATGTTACATAATAAAAAAAATAATAAAATATCAACTACTTATATATATAAATCATCCAAATTATGTTTCATAAATCATAATTGATCAATGAGATGTAAATACGGGGAATGGCGGGAGTTTTTTTTTTTTTTTTCCTATTCCTTCAAGGTTTGTCACAATAACTAATGTTTTGTCTATAATCAGTCAAATTAAACCGACAAAACATATTCTTTATCTTAATCCTACTCAATATAGGATTACCAAAAAAACATGTATCCTAATCCAACCAAACGTAGGATTACCAATTTTATTTTCTCCAAGTTCCTATAAATACCCCTAAAATACAGAACAAATTTTTTATAGCTTATGTTGGTTGAAAATTTTTCATATTTTTACTCATATACGTGTATTTTTTGTGTGTTAATTGATTTCAAGCTCAGTTAAACAAAAAAGTCAATCATCAAAAAATGTCGAAAGCTTCGATCTTCTTTGCCGCGCTTTTCGTGTTGTGTTGCTGCTGCTCAACAATATCAGCGTACGTAGCTTACAAAGACCCGAAACAGCCCATACACAGACGAGTCGAGGACCTGTTGAGCCGAATGAGCTTGGAGGAGAAAATCGGTCAGATGGTTCAAATCGAACAAAACGTGGCTTCGCCTTACGTGATGCAAAGGTATCTCATAGGCAGCGTGTTGAGTGGCGGAGGCAATGGCCCCGCGCCAAAGGCTTCACCAGAGTCGTGGGTCAACATGGTCAACCGTTTTCAACTGGGCTCGTTGTCTACACGTCTCGGGATACCTATGATATACGGTTCGGATGCAGTTCACGGGAATAATAACGCATACAACGCTACGATATTTCCTCACAACATCGGCTTAGGTGCCACGAGGCAAGTATATATAGGTTTTCCTTACATTGAATTTGCTTAAGTCCTGGCCATTCCTCTGAACAAATTGTCACGCATTGATTGATTACATCTAAGTGTCCACATCAAACTATGAATTATGAATATCCAATGCTTTATATGAAATGAACAGAAACATATTGTGACGAGATTGTAGTCATCCCCTGAATTATATTTGTTAGTTTATTGATAATCACTTTTTAACAGAGACCCGGAATTGGTGAAGAGAATCGGAGCTGCAACGGCTCGTGAAGTTAGAGCTACCGGAATTAATTACGCGTTTGCTCCGTGTGTTGCGGTTTGCCGAGATCCGAGATGGGGCCGTTGTTTCGAGAGCTATAGTGAGAATCCATCCGTAGTTCGATCGATGACCGAGATTATCCCGGGACTACAAGGAGACGTGCCGAAATACTACCCAAAGGGCGTTCCTTATATTTCCGGGCAGTAAGTTTTCTTTCGTTTGTCCCGATATATTTTTTTTTACCTAGTCGAACCTGTTTAGAAAACCGAACTTTTTTTGTCTGAATGAAATATTTGTTCTGTTTCTTGAATGGAATATTTGTTCTGTTTTTTTGTTCAGAGACAAAGTCGCGGCGTGTGCCAAGCACTTTGTCGGGGATGGCGGGACGAGCAGGGGAATAAACGAGGCCAACACAGTGGGAACTGTTCGTCAGCTGCTCAACATCCACATGCCGGCTTACGTAGACTCGGTTTCAAAAGGCGTATCGACAGTCATGGTCTCGTATTCGAGCTGGAACGGGAACAAGATGCATGCAAATCGAGCCCTAATCACCGGATATCTCAAGAACACACTCGGTTTCAAAGTAATAATTTCGCCTAAAATTCCCCCTTCTTTTCTTATTAATCTTCACTAACAATATAGAAAGACTGAACTATACCAAAAAAAATGCAGGGGTTTGTTATCTCTGATTGGCAGGGCATCGACAAAATCACGTCCCCACCACACGCGAACTATGTTAATTCAATCCGAGTCGGAATCAACGCTGGAATCGACATGGTTAGTAGTGTATATTTGTTTAACTAGCTTTCTATTTTGGTTTTACGGCTTTGTAGAAGTCTAGTTCCGAACAAAGTGCGCAAAATAAATTCGGTTTCGGTTCGTACGATGCAGGTTATGGTTCCATACAACTATAGGGAGTTCATCAATGGCTTGACCTATTTGGTCAAGAATAGGCTCGTCCCAATTAGCCGCATAGATGATGCCGTGAGGAGGATCTTACGAGTTAAATTCATGATGGGTCTGTTCGAACACCCGTTGGCCGATTATCGCATGGCCAAGCATTTAGGCAGCAAGGTCAGTATGATATTTCAGTTTGAAAAAAAAAACATCAATTAGTATATATATGGAGTTTCAAAACATAAACTCTGACTTTTAAATTTTCTTATCTAGTCTCGTCGACATGGGTAGTTTCATAAATTCCCTTCTTCTCGTCCCGTGCAGGAAAATCGAGAGCTCGCGCGTGAGGCCGTGCGAAAATCGCTTGTCCTCCTAAAAAATGAGAAATCGACATACGAGCGGCCCTTACTACCCCTCCCCAAGAGGGCTCCGAAAATCCTCGTGGCCGGGACCCATGCGAACGACATTGGAAACCAATGTGGCGGATGGACGATCGAGTGGCACGGCAAGAGCGGCAACATTACAGCCGGGACAACCATCCTCTCCGCAATTCAAAAAACGGTCGACCCAAAAACCGAGGTCGTGTTCGAAGAAAACCCGAGCCCCGAGCGTGTGAGCACGGGCGGCTATTCGTACGCGGTCGTGGTCGTTGGCGAGCGCCCCTATTCCGAGTCGGTCGGGGACAATGCCGACCTAATGTTGCCCAAACCAGGCCCCGAGGTTATCGAGAACGTGTGTCGTTCGGTTAAGTGTGTCGTGGTTTTGGTTACGGGTCGACCCGTTTTGATCCAACCGTACTTGGCCCATATTGATGCCCTGGTTGCCGCATGGCTGCCAGGGTCCGAGGGCCAAGGGGTGCCCGACGTTTTGTTTGGAGATTACGGTTTTGTCGGGAAGCTGCCGATCACGTGGTTCAAGACGGTCGACCAGTTGCCGATGAACGCCGGTGACCCGCATTACGACCCGCTTTACCCGTTCGGGTTTGGGCTTAGTACACGGCCATTTAAGGGCAACTAAGAACTGAAGTTGGGTATTGGTTTTATGAGGTCAAAGACTCAACACTGGAAATATTGGCCAAGTATAATTTAGGAGTTGTTGTCTAATTAAAATGTTTAGTGGATTTTTTTTTTTTTTGATACATTTGAAATTGATAATTATTTTTTTAATATATGAGTTTATTTCATTTTGTGATTTTGTTTATGTTATTTTGTTTGTGCTTGGTCTGAACATATATTTTGTATTTCTATTGGGCCCATTGAATTATTTGATGCTAATTCGCATGTGATGTGTAATTAGTAATTACTATTTGGAAAAAAAAAAAATATATATCAATCACTTTCTTGGTTGACAAAAGTTATGATTAGATACAGTTGGAGGAAAAGAAAAAATGCAGGTGAATAATAGATGTATTTTTTTTTTTTTTTGGGTACAGTAATAGATGTAATTTCTAAAATAATGAAGGCAACTGTATAATTAATGGTGGTCCAGTTACGGTACCATTCTGTCGGGTATTTTAACCGTTAAATACACATGTACGTAGTTAGTATAAGATACATAATTCAACGGTTAAAAACACCCGACGAGATGAGATAGTAGCATTTCCCTTAATTATATATATGTACTTATTAGTTTATTTTTCTTAAATAAATACTATATGTTATAAACATAGTAACTATATAAATATAAGTAGAGTGAGACAGCTCTAATTCCAATAAGAAACATATAGGCCGTCGGCCTCATTCATAAGTAAATCCTACATTAATTCACTAATGCTATTAGACATGCACATGTTATATAAATTATATTTTCTTAACATGTTTTTTTTGGGGTAGAATATTCCTAGTCTATTATTAATTTTATTAATCTAAAACCAGGTCAATTATCAATTGAAAACCTGATCGATTTTTTTCCCCCAATTTGAACTCGAATTTTACGAAACTATCGATATGAGGCTTAAAAATTACTAATGTCACTAGAGCACTTAAATTGAAAGAAAAAACTAAAATTCGAACCAAATCTGATGATACAAGAATTACTTGACATTAATCTGAGTATACGTGGCGGTGATGTATGTTCCGACATCCACCTTGTAGTATAGTATCTCAGGTTATTTCGAAAAATAATTTATCGTTACTCTTTGGGACCTAGAGTGTCGTAACGTAGTTGCGTAAGTTGATAGCCAGTGTGTGGTCGCTATGATCTTGGGGACGGAGAGTGACTCAAGTGGGATGCATTGTGCTCTCATCCGGGCCATTCGAGCCCTTTTGGAGCATGCATGGGTACTGGTGGCGCATTGTTATCGGGAGGCTAATTTCGTGGCGGATTGTCTGGCTTCGTTTAGCCCACTCTCGCCCGTCTGGGTGCCAGTAGGGGTGGGCACGGTTCGGTTAACCGAACTTTTTGAGGTATTTGCTAACCGAACCGAACCGAGCAAATATTCAAACTCGCTAACCGAAACCGAACCGAAAATATCGGTTAACCG